AATACTGCCATTGTATAAGATAGCCATTCACATATTAATTTAACTGATGCTCCCTCCTTCTAAAGATCCAGAAGTATTTTCTGATCGCAATATCAAGCAATAGTTGATTTTTTCATTATGTTGAGTGTATTCTAATCCTGAGTTTATTAAAGATAATTATATACCTTTTATGACACTCTTAAAATTTCTCAACTTCTACGCAAATTTGATTTAATTTGCACATATAATAGTTTTGGAGCGTGCATTTTTTGCAGGCTTAGAGATTTGTTGCGCAAGAGAGTTAAATACCAAAAGTACTGAATTAAATGGGGAAATTTGGTATTATAATAATGAAATGAAAGTGAATTGCCATTAAAAAGAGTAGAGTTATATTGATAATTTTCTGATTCCAGGTCTAATTTTTAATTTTCTTTTTGAATTTCCAATTTGTACTTTTTAATCCATTAAATACAGAAGAGCCTCATAAGTATTCTTTTTTTTTTTTTATTTTCTTTAAGTTTCAACCTCTTCATCATCTGCATAAGTATCATTAGTAGGAGGTGATGCTAAATATATATGACTCGCATTCTCTCTTGCATCAAATATTTCACACCATCTCCAGTTATTTGGTGCTGACTCAGCCTTATTATTAACTATCTTTTTTTTCTCTTGCATATCTTACATATGTACGTATTACATAATTTGTCAAACTATTTTTTGCTTGTTCATTGCTTTTACCAGGCAATCAATAAATGATTGATAAGTTTATTTTTATTTTCAGAGGACCAGCTCTTATGATTATCATTCAGATGTCCATTGAACTATCTTTGTTCTCTTGATTTTTAAAAAAATTATTTTCAACTTCAGATGAATTTAATTGAGGAAAAGATGCTGGATAAATATTTTGTTATTGATGATGATAATTTTGAACCGTATAAATATTTTGTTGGTAATTTTCATCATTATTAGTAGAAGCTTGCCTTTTGAGCTGGATTGATATTTTGTTAATGTTGATGTTGATGTTCGAGAATATTATTAGAAGCATAATGAAATTGATTGGATAATTTTATTACTACGCTGATCACCACTATTAAATTTTTTTATATACACAATTTATCAAAATGCTAGATTGAAAACTTCTATTGCCATCGTAATGACAAAAATAATAAAATGCACCTATAGTTTGAAGCAACACAAATATAATTTCTCTAATCAATAATATCATCTAAAAAATTATATCCCCATTTGAATTGAATATTTTTATTTGTAAAAAATGTATTTACAGAACGTTGAAAGCTTGCATTGAACTTTGCGACTTGTAATTACAATATAATTTATAAAATTACACTATTAATCCTTTTGCCTAATGAAAAATATTATATAGTTAATAAGATGCTCATTTATTCAACACATTTGCTATTTTAATACATTAATTAACTATAATAAACCATACATACTTTCCTTTGATCTAGTAGATCCAAGCATGTTGCAATCATTTCTTTATAGTAAAACTAGAAATAATTTTCCAAAGTGTAAGAGTTTATAAACATACCTTTAAACATGTTAGTTCATTGTTTTTTTTTTTTTTGCTGAATTTGTTATAAATATATTACTTTTTTTTTGAATGTTTGGGAGATATTTCTCATCCAACTTATGAATTACTTTACCTTTTATCAAATTATTTTTGACAGTAGAAGGTAATGGGTTGGAGTATTTGCACAATCAATACCAAATTGAATTAAAGTCAGATGATGGTCAGTTTGTATGTGTGTGTAATTAATGCATATCATTTCTCAAAATTAAATGCCTTCTATGTTACTGTCGATGACGTTAATTATTTGTCCATAGCTTTAGAAGCTACCTCTTGACATTCTCTATCAATTCTCGTTTCCTTGTTTCATTTTTCATTTTTAAATATCGCTTAAAATTGTCGTGTGAAATTTTGGATAGTATTCGCTCTGCATAATCAAGTAAAATTACTGGTTAATGTATCACTACATAGTTGATAGTTATCGCGTGATCAACATTAAATATTTATAAAAAAGGAAATTATATAACCTTTAACCTTGATATCACCTTGATATATATAACGGGTAAAGATGATTTTGTAATAACGGGATTGAAAATAATTTTGCTTTGACCATCTAGAAAATAAAAGATACTGTGACTAATTCACTCTCATTAATTCCGATGTATATAAGATCTAGATGATCGTGTAACAATATATTAATAGATAATATTAATAATAAGCATAGATTATACTTGTAAAAACCAAGGTTTGTTTATATTAACTCTCATTAATTCCGATGTATATAAGATCTAGATGATCACGTAACAATATATTAATAGATAATATTAATAATAAGCATAGATTGTACTTGTAAAAACCAAGGTTTGTTTGTTATATTCACTCTCATTAATTCCGATGTATATAAGATCTAGATGATCGCATAACAATATATTAATAAATAGTATTAATAATAAGCACAGATTGTACTTGTATAAACCAAGATTTGTTTTTTATATACAAGCTAGTAATAGCCTACTTAACTTTTAAACATTTCTATTATAGTGTTGCTATGATAGTTTCATTCCATCAATTAATATTATAATAATTAATAAATTAATAACCTATAAATAATTATAAATCAGTCTCTTATAATTAAAGTCTAAATTTTTCTAACACAACCTTTCAAATAGTTATAAGTGACTTTGTAGGGAACACTTTGGCACAATTGTTGCTGCTGAATTTGTTTTAGTCTGCATACTAGTTGGAAGAAAATCTTAAAATAAGTGTGAAGAAAAGAAATGCTTCTGACATAGCATAGAATAACCAATATTTAAGCTAACCTTTTCTTTTAACTGTTGTTAGAAAGTTCTAGTCTGGCTCTAAAAATTTTATTATGGTTGAAAACCGCTTGCTATATGAAAAACGGAGAATTTTTTTTTTGAAGTGGACGATAATAATTTTATTTGAGTAATGTTTATATTGAATGACATTTGATTTGCAATGTCCTGTGACTAATATAAAAGTATATTACAGAAAAAGATACTCACCTTGAGTGCACTGTCAATGTATTCTTCCAATTTTGATGTCCATAGAAGAGGGTTAAATTTGCATGTTGAAAGCACCTCCTGGGTCAATTCTTTACCAATTTCTGCTTCAAGGTCTTTTTGCTTCATTCCAAATGCACAAATAACAGTAGAATCTTGACAGTACCTTGACATGAAAAAAGCAATATGTAAAATTAGACATTGCCCAAAACAGGATAAGCAGAAATATTGAATACTTACTTCTTTACTTCTGGATTTTCAAATGGTCGTTTATTAGGTGTTCTTATTACAGATATTGAACCAAAGGGTGATTGTGGTGATGGAGTTTCGGATTCAAATAGTGAAGACTCAATGTTTGAGAGAAAAGAAGGTTGTAAATAAGATTCGAATGCTTCTGTATGAGAAGTAACATTGATTGTTTCCTATATATAATATTCATCATAATATAAGTATTGTTGTTTTTTTTGTTATAAATCCATGTATGTATCAACGCACCTCAACAACAGCTTTCATGTCAACCTTCTTTTTCAGCAATACTTTAGCATCAAAGAACTTACGACATGCTTCGATAACATACCTACCTGTCAACGTCTGTAATGACAAATAAGTTGGATTCAATATTGGATGACAATTTACCAAACTGAAATGTGAAAAATAGTATATACCTTTAGCCAATCAATATAATTTTGACAAATTGACCGAACAGATAAAGGAACAACAAAGAGCTGATTTATCTGGTCCAGACTTTCCATGAAATTGGTGAGTACTTGTTCAAAGTTGATTGTAAGATCAGATTGTTCAAGAATATAGTTTGTATAAGCTTCCAAAGACCATTTAGATGCCGGGATAACCTTGAAAAAATTTTCAATAGAACGTGTATTTTCATTACACCGAAAGTTGTAATATTTTGTTACCGTTAATCTTGGTTCACTAATTACAGTTAACATGAGACAAATAAAAATTATTATTATCTTGATTATTGAAAATTTTTCGACACGCGCCATTGTTTATGCATATTTAATTGGCTGAATTACTATTATTGAGTCACACAAAATTTATCCAGAAAATTTGTTCCTTCAATAGTTCTTTATGACATCACGATTACCAAAACAACAACTTTGTATATAAAATACCTCGACGCCCCTACGTTTCTATGCCTGTCATTTAGACGGTAGTCATTGTTGGAAGTACGAAAGGAGACCATCACGCCTGTCATTTAGACGGTGACCTTCTTATCGTAATTCCATCATCCTGCGTCTGACATTTAGTCGATGGGATTGATGAAGTGCACTCAAGGTGATCTTGCGCCTGTCATTTAGACGGCAAACATTTTTGAGTGCAAAGGTAGGCCTATCATGTCCTATGCCTGACATTTAGTCGGTGGGAATGGTAGATGTACAAAAGCTAAGCTTGTTTTATTTTGCCTGTTAGCCAATACTAAAATATATATATATGTATAGACATATAGATTTATCTATTTTAGTGAAAGAATTGAATAACATTGCATTCTTGTAGAAGAACAACCAATTTTCATAGAATAAACTTCTATTACAAAGTAGTTTATCTTCAGCAACAAACATATCTTTTGGTAAATGGTGTTAATGACAAAAAAAAATTTAAAAGGTTTATTATATTATTATTCTAAGTAAAAAAAAATTGAAAGTTATATATATTTGATTATTAACTTGAGAATAGTTATTTTCAAGGGGTTGATAAACTACAAATATAAATTCCATAAGTGAAAGTTCTGGATTTATATAATTTTTTTTTACAGATAAGTGCAGAAGTGGTAAATCAATATCATATTGTTTTATTTTACTTTATTGATTATGCTTAAGCAGTTCAAGGATTAGTAGATTGCAAACAGGCAAAGTTTTTATTGGTAAATTTTTCTTGAAAATTAGATGAAAAAAAAGAAAAAATATTGAAATGATAATAATTATGGAGTAATTAAAGAATTGTCACTTATCGGAATGATTACCATCTGAATAATAAGCATCAAACAGAAAATGTATTTTCCATAATTGGGTGCTCTACTTTTATTCATCCTACCTTCATTTCTATTTTATTTTAGTACTTCAGGGTTTTTTACTATAAGGTATTAATGAATGGTAGTGTACAATTATGATATCAGCAAATTTCATCATATTAATATAAATTTCCTTGTGACATAATGTTCACTTTGTCTGGTTTTGTTGCAGCATGCTCTATATATGGAAGTGATTTTTGTGTAATTTGTGTTGATGGGACTTCAGCAAATATCCTATCTGAAAATTCATCAATCATTTTGTATATTTAACCAATCATTTACTGGACGAAGGATTAAATAGGATTCACAATAATAATACATTTTATAATGGATCTCTTTTAATATTAATGAATTTTTATTTATCAGGTCAAATATTATTCAAAATTACCATCCGTTCAAATAATAATAGTACTGACCGCATTACAACGAATTTAAAAAAGATGACAATAATATTAATATTAAAGAACAATAATAAAATTGTTTAATTAAAATAAAAAAAATAACACGAATAAAATTCCAAGAAATCTGTATAAATAAAGATGAAATTTTCTTTTATCAAATAAAAATTTTACAATTAAAACCTTTGAAAATGTCTCAACAACATCATCATTCATTAAAAACGTGTATCGATCATTACAACGAATTATGGTGATCAGTACCATTGAAACGATGCTTGACTGTATTAGTATTTTATATGGATGTCCGCACTTTTAAAATAAAATGTGCTTATAACCAATTCACCTTGACAAATCTATGCCCTATAAAAAGCTATGTACAGAATAGGTACTAATACTGAATAGATGCGGTCTGAATACGGAAAAGGCGTGTTTTGATATGGAATGCACCAGGCAAACACATTTTGATATTGAATAGATCCTAATGTGGGAAAATGCGCTTTCACATACTAATACCAATACTAATACCTAAAATATGGAAACCGTGTGGAATTAGCTTGAGTTTTTCTGGTAATTACAATAATAATAATAATAAATGTAAATATTCATAATATAATAAAAATTTGAATGAGCAACAACAGTAAAAAAAACAAAAAGAAATCATTAATCTTTGATAGTGATAATGATGAAGATGATTCTTTTCCTCGAAAGTTGATATGACATTATTTGTGATGATCATTTTATGAATCAAAAAATTTTTTTTTAATAAGAATGTATGCAAGAGCACTTCGTATAAAAAGTAATATTGATTGGACTAATAGTTCATATGCATTTAAGCCTCGACAAAGCAAAACATTTAATTATGAAAAAAACACCATTCAAGCATTAGAACATTTTTTTCAAAATGGTTTTACAGACATATCACTGAAAGAGACTCCAACAAAATTAATTGTAAAACAATATTATTACAATCCCAATTATTTTGAATCATTACCAAAAAAACCTAATTTCCAAAGCACTGCAGATGCAAACATTCCAACAATGCTCATAAAAGCAACTCCTCAAGAATCTTCCTTGATGAGATTGACAGAATTATTGGAGAAAATGTATCAAAAAAAAGTTGAACCAATGATTATACGAGTAGATTATCCTTATCTTAATAGTAAAATATTAGCTCAATATCTTGCAAAAAATTGTTTACGGTACAGGTCAAGATTAGTTCTCAAAAATCTTTTTAAAAAAGTACCATTGATTGATAACAATTCATTAATAATACCAGCAACATCAGCAGCTCCAATTTCTGCCAAACCTATAACCTCTTTAAATAAACCAACAGCAGAATTACCAAGTTACCCAAATCCGCTTAAATGGAATAAACTTGTAGGAATCTCTGATCGATTTATCTCAACCCAATTAAAAGGTATAAGAGTAGAATTTAAAGGTAGAATGACAACTCGTAAAGCTGCATCTAGAGCTGCAACTATGAAGAAATCACTTGGTTCTTTTGGTATGAAAACAATGAAAGATTCTATGATTGATTATTCAAAAATTGCTGTCAAAGGAAAAAATGGATTGTTTTCAATCAAAGTCTACTTGAGCAGTCAAATTGTTTAATTATTTAAACCCTTTTTTCTTGGTAAAGATTTTCATCTTTTTTTTAAAAAAATCAAGCTTTGTTTAATATTTGGAATCATTTTATTATAAATTATAAAATTTTTTCAATTAATTAATTTAAAAGATTTTTTTTAAAAAAAAAAATATGTCCAATACAATCATTTCTCAAACTTATAATAAAATAAATAATATTTGGCCACCTTCAACAGCATATATTTTTATCTTTCTTTCATATCAACAAAACTTATCATCAGCTCTATATGATTTAAATTATGACAAATGATGATGATGACATTAAACAAAAATTTGCCATCATATATATTAAAAATAAATAAAAATATATTATTATTCATTTCAGAAGGACCAAATCAAAACTGTTATTTGATTGGAGCAATTTATCTAAATTATGAAAGTTGACACTAATTAAAGATGCTCTGGTTTTGTTGTGGCATATCCCATATATCAGATGAATATGAAGCAGGATGTTTCATGAAAACATTTTGGCAATTTATAACAATATCACAAATTATGCTTTAAATTGTGTTTGTGGGACAGCTTGGATTTGGTAAGTAAAGGTTGCAAATATAATTAATAAAATCAAGGTTGATTTGCCATTACCACCTTCATCAAATGATGTAATTTTCTCTTTACTAAGAAAATCATAACACAAAATCAATTTGAGAATGATTGATTACTGCTTCATCAACTTTAAAGGAAATGAGATTAATTGGTTACATACAATCAATCAATGGTTAATCAATAATAATAAATGAGCAATCTTTAAAAATAATTATTCACATTCAAAGCCTAACTCTTCCTTCACTAACATTTAAAGGAATCATCCAACAAAACCAATTTTATCTCCTCTTTAAATTTAATGTATTTAATCAATATAATATATTTGTAATAATATATGTGTGTTCATACAAAAGTTCTTTAGAGAAGGAGGGGGTTTCAATTTCAGCATCAAGATGCAATTGGCCACATTCTGTACTCAAACCAGTATTCTTAGAATTGGTTGTTGAAATTCCTTCAGATTTATTGGAGAAAAATTTGGTCATCATGTGCAGAATGGTAGCATAAAAGTTTATCCATGTCTCATTCCTTTGCAGTAATGTCAGATATGATTGGTCTTAGAGAGCACCATCTTGATAATATTCTGATTGATTTGATAATGGTAAGTTATTTACATTGGTTATAATATATGTTTTGAGAAAGGGAGAATCCCAGAAATGGTTCCTTTCCAACTTACTCAAAATATTGTAACAGCACTTGGTGTTATTGGAATTTTTAGGATTGTATGTAAAAATGTACTTAGAGTTATGTTTCTTGAAGCATTTTTTTATGATCCTTTGGTATTAGATCATGATATCGTTCATTTATAAATTTAAAAATAAAGGAAATTAAATATTTTAGGAGTTTAGTATTTTTTAATCAATAAATATCTATATTATTAAGGGATAGTTGCAGTATTTGAGTAGCAGGATGAATATCAGCAAATAAACAAATTTGGTAAACTTTGATTTTTGCTTGTGCTGCCAACAATCTTTCTAATAAATATAAATAAATGAAAGTGTATTAATGTATGTTTGGATGCGTATATGTATATTTTTTAATAATAACTATAGTTATCTTTACCATCCTTTTTGGATACATATGAAACAGTAATTGGTTTATTCATCAAATATTGGCCATTCATAGCATCAATTGCAGCATCTGATGAATCAAAATTGTCATATGAAATGAAGCCATACCATTTACTATTGCCACCATCAGGATCTCTAGCAATCTAAATCAATTAATTATTCACAAGACAAATTACATTAATTGATTGTTATCATCATCATCATCATCATTATCACCTTTGCAGTTTTCACTATGACATCAAAAGAACTAAAAGTGTCATATAGCATTTTTCATCTACATCTAGATCCAAATTTCCTATAAATAATGAAGCACCAACATCTAAATTTTTTTTGTCTGATGTTGCCTAATATAAATAAATAGACATATACATAGATAAATGTTATTGATTAATAGCAATAAGACTAATAAATAATAGAATCATTTATTACTACATACTTTGTTAACACGTATTGGTTTCCCATATAATTTGATTTGATTCATTATTTTTATTGCGTAATCAGCATCATCTTCACTCATATACTCGCAAAATCCATAACCTTGATGTGTTTGAGTAACACGATCTTTTGGTAAATGGACATTAACTAAGAAGAAAAGACAAAAAGGTAGTTTGGTAAATAAATTTATTTGTAGGGAGGAGGAGAAGGGAGGAAGAGGAGGTAAAGGAAAACTTACCAACGGGACCAGCTTGAAGCATTAATTCCCAGATTAGTGCTTCAGTACATCTTTCATCCAAGTTTCCTATATATACAGTAGCATCTTGATTACGTTCTTCAGTAAGACGAGACATTTTATATTGAAAGAGTCCCGTAAATACGAGTGACCAATTGTTTGTTATGTTACAAAAATTATAATTACAAAAAATAAAAAAATAAATGCTAAATCCAACTGGTAGTACAAGTCGCGATATTGATGATGTTTTGACTTTTAAAAAAATTCCAGACTTCGGGTCAAAGTTTAATAATATGTCTTTTTTTTTTTTAATTATATGTAAATTTCCTCTTTATATAATAACTTAATAGTGTATATCAATATAGGAATTGGCAAAAATAAACAGTTCCTTAAATCAATATTTATCAAAAAGCAAAGAAATGGCAACGTTTTATTTATTATTATGAATACTTTGTAAATGATCTTAGGTAACTTTAAGACTATTTATCTTTTTATATAAATTTAGGGACCTTGTAAAAATGGGTATAATTAGTTTGTTTGATCCAGAAAAATGTAACCTACAATATATCAAATCAAAATTTGTGGCAAAAGTTGCGGATAAGATTTTAAAGGATACTATTATTTCAGAGATGTTGGATAATATCAAAACAATAAAAAAAGTTGATAAGCATGAAAGCTATATCAATTATAAATACATTTGACGTAACTGCAGTGTTTACTATTGTTGTTATAAGATTATTGTAAGTTTAATTAATATATATACATTCTCATTCTAAAGAGATTATCAATTAAAAAAAAATTTTTTTTAGTACAAACCTTTTTTCGTTGAATGAAGACTATTTTAATCAAACTTACCCAGAATTACATATAGGATCTCTTGTACATGGTCAATTTATTTATAATATTATTTAGAAGCAAGCTATATTCGTAATTATTTTTGATTAATATTTATCTCTTTTTTATAAAAAATTGATACTTATTAACTCTCCATTTGAATAAAGGAGTCATTACGCTAATAAAACCAAGAGAAACTTTTATAGTCTTGATAACCGTCGAGCACTTATACCTGACACAGGGTTGACAAATTGACTGGTCCATTGAGAACGGATGGATTTTGGACTGGTCCATTGTCATTAATAAAATACTAAAAATGGTTAAAATGTTACACTAATGGACCCAATGGACCATCAATGGACTGCACATTTGCCAACCCTGACCTAACCTTAATGTACAAAAAGAGAGAAATGGAAACATTGGTTGTTGAACATAGCAAAAAAAACAGCTAATAAGGATTTAAGGAAAAAGATCAACGACTTTACAAAAATCGTGATCCTTTTACACGATCAATTTGCAGAAACTTTCAACATATTAAACAAAGAAGGGAAGGGGCATTTGATAAAGATTTGAAAATGTTTGGTATTGTAACCTCGAGTAAGTAATAATTATGTATACATTATATACACACATTAAAGCTAACTTCAACTAAATAAATAGAATTGAAGATAACGGCATCCTGACTATAATATAGACAATATTATAGAAATTTCTTTGAGAAAAAGAATTTTTTGAGTACAAAGTTGTAAGGAAATTTGTGCACAAGAAAAAAAAAATTTTTTATTGACGTTTTCATCATTAGAGAAGAATAAGAAAAGAAGCAAACAACCCTCCTGAGAGGAATACTGCAAGTAAGTATTGTTAGAGGAAAGAAATTCGATGATTTTTCTAGTTGCCATAATTATCAAAAATCATCTTACGTGATCATTTGAACTCTTAAAAATTAACGACATATTATTATATGTAAAGAATATTGAGAATTCGTTGCTATAATTACTTTTCCTCCAAAAATGGAAACAACTATTACTATATTTTGATTTCGATTAATTCAATTACACGGATTTCGACTTTTTTGTATTTATTGATATTGAGAGGAAATAATCATTGAAAAAAATCCAAGAAAAAATGACAAAATTACTAGAGATTACACAACCACCATAGTGTATGTTATCATTTATTTTTTCTTATAAATAATGGCCATTTATAATAGTAATTATAGTTAGTTGTCTTATGTAATGAATGATAGGACTTGAAATTACCAAGTGGCAGACTAATCAAGGATCTTCCGTTGCAAATATATAATGATGCAAAAGAACAGCAAGGTATTTTGATTTTGTGATTTGTTGTTTATATCAATATGGAATATAACCAACCTTCGTTTCAACGGAATGGCTGAACACATAACAATAAGAAATTTTCATTTAAAATCCGTTGAAACAAGGGTTATACAGTAAGTAATAATCTAATAATGATAATGATTAGTGTTTCGGGCGAAACCTAACCCTTTCGCCCAATCCGAATCCAAAACTGGTGCGAAATTAGTTTCGCCAGACACCAAAATGTCCGAAATAGCCCAAATCCGAAATTAAAGCTGAAAGGCGAAATTTTATCCGAAATCATATGATCAATTTCTGACCAATAGTAATTTTTCATGAAGATCAATTGATTAACATTTAAAAAATGGAAGAAAACGAAACAATAAATGACCATCCATCTTTAATTACGGAAGAAAAATATACAACTGTTGGTAAAGTGATTGTTGATGAAATGAATCAAACCAACGTTTATTTTTACGTTATCAAATTCACGATTTTGATTGGTCAATCAACAATTGTATGGGTTAAAATTTTGTTACCTGTTCTTGTTCCTTCGCTCAAACAAATAATTGTTTTTATGTGTCAATACTTAGTAAACATTCTGTTCTTTGGATAATTCTTGTTTGTAATAATAATTCACATTTTTAAATTTTTTGTTATAATGGGGGGTTTTTTTTTTGACAGTAAAATAGTTTATTTGGCTGCCTTTAAACCTTTTCTAACAGGATTAATTGATAAAGATTTAAATAAATTATTAATATAAATTGAAAAATAAAAATTGCATTATTTAAAGAACAACTTCATCACCAAACTCTAGTGATTGATTTATTGTGATTCAGCATTCTTTTCTATTTCATCATCATTTTTAAATCTTCAAAATTAAAATTCACAAAATCTGTACCAAAACTTGTCTTATGTGCTATGTAAAGGATAAAAAGCAACACAACTATTGAATATCTCACTTTCACTTCCACTCTCACATGGAAAACTTCTTTAGACAATTTTGAAACACCAAAAAACGATTCAATGTGTAAAATTTGATCAATTATTGGAAATTTCCAGATACAGACAGTCAAAGCTCGTTAAATTCATATTTTTCAGGAATCAATGCCAGTTATATTAAAATTCTATAATCATAACAAAATCTTAATGATCGATAAAGTCATAACTCTCTTACTTTTTTATCAAATAAAAAAAAGCCTGTTCTTTAAATTGATAATAATTACTATTATTGCAAAAAGTGAATTCAAGCTTTCAAATTAAGCGTAGAAATACAGATGATAATGAGCGAAAAATAATTTATCTTCTCTTGAAAACGTAGAATTTGCGAAGAGCTTTTATCTAATACTGTAAATAATAATTGGGAATGTTTCATAATTACATATTTTTTTTATATTTTTATAAAAAAAAATCTCCAAGTCATTCTCATTATATTGTGAAATTAAAGAGCAACTCTCGACAGTGGCATAATTCGATAAATTCATAAAATTTACTGTGCCAGACTATATATGATGGCGAAAGTCATTTAATAAAATTCGAACCTTTACTTAAGTTTTCGAAATTTGAAATCGAAATTTGAATCAAGATTCTAATTTTGAAATATCATAAATTAAGTTGAAATAAAAATTAATTTGCAATGAAAATAATATTTGTTAAATCGTAAAAATCATTTAATTCCTTTGGTTAGTTTTTCTTTTCTTTCGATTTTCTTTTTGGTTATTATTATTAGACAAACTCCTTGATCCAAGAATATTTGAAGTTACCAATGAATTTGCATCGTCCAAAAAAATAATCATTTTGGTAGTAACTTCAAGATAAAATTGTTTTATTTAAATAGGTGCATTTGGACATCTATTCGCCAGATGCTTTGCAGACTTCTTTTTGTTCCATTATCATTACGGGATATACCTGACATTGTTTGTGCACATTTTAATAAAGGTACAATAAGATATCCAGGCCAGTATTGTTATACTGGAGGTTTTAAGAGTTGGCAAATAAAGGCTTCGAGAATCAAAATTGCTTGACGTAATTCAAAAGCAGTATTTTAGAATTTGAATCAGAATTTCGAATTTCGAGTTTTGAAAATTCTCTGGAACTGTGATTATCGAAATTATTTTCGAAACCAACCTATTTCGCCATCATAATCATGTATGTACCAGACCTACGAGTTTAACTGTATTAAGTGTATCACTCCAGGGCTCTAATATTTAAAACATCACATCCGATGATATAACAATATGTTTTGATTCAGGGGCTCATGACCCTGAAGTTTATTGGAATTGCATTGTTGTCAAAAAGGCTGTTAAGCCTATCTCTTGCCTGAATCTCTTCTTCTATGGAGAAAAATATATAGATACGAACTACGGCGATTGCACACTCGTGAAAGGAAAATTTTATCAAATGAACAGAGTTAGCGTCGGACATGGATATTAATTATCCTGCTTCTGTAATATTAAGTGCAAAGCATCACAAACAACCACAACCTCATTCAATCAACTTCAACCCCGTCATCTAAATCACCAACTCTGATACCAACCAAATTCAACTACCATCATCAGGAACGCAAAGTCACAACATACCTTGAATATATTGTCAACCCTGCCTATAATCATCAATATTAGATTTATTCATTTTATTTTTTTGGAAATGTTTTCAATGAATTTTGGATTACAATTGGGGACATGCACACACGCGTGTGTGCACACAAAATGAAGGAAATCAAGTAAACTAGAATTCCCACAGCACATTATTATCTTACATGGAAAAGAGGCTCGGATCAAAACATCGAGGGTTTGTTTTCCAAATCTTCCAAATTTTTTCACCTGGATGTGGCTTTTTTTCAAAATTGGCATGGTCATTAATATTGTTATTGCTTGGGCGATGTAATTATTCATTATATAATAACATCAAATGCATTGCATAATCATCATAATAGACATGATGTAATAGTGGGGACAAAGGCGTTCATATTCAAGGAAAGAGTTAAAAACAACAACAAAGGATAAGGATTTTAATTTATATATAACTAGAATGACCATTTTTCCTTTAACTATAATACAGTATAATAAATTGAGACATGTCCAATTTATTTTGTAAAAAAACCATTTTTTAACTGTACAGTCGGAACTTGATAAGACGTAACTCGATAAAACGAATTTTTGTTATAATGAAGTTTTTCTAGTTTGCCAATTCATTAATAATAAAATCAACTTGATAAGACGAAGATTCTTATTGTTTCACTTTAACGTTTAAGATGATATTTTCATACTGTTCCATATATAACTCGATAAGACGAATAATATCGGTTTATCGAAGGAAACTTCGCTTTATTTTGTACAATTTTATAAATGATTTAGTACGTTCCTAAAATTAAAAATGAAAAATAGATAAAAGAAACATACTCCAACGAATAGAGACCTTGCTATTTGTTTTAAAGTTCATGAAAATACTGTTTGTGACATATTGAAACGAAAGTCAGAATATCTTGGTATTAATCCAGAAGATGCCAATTCACATAATAAACGTTTACGCAAAGGAAATATTCAGGTCTAGAAGATGCATTGATTCTTTGGACAACACAAATGCTTAAAGCAAATTTAACTATCATAAATAATACGTTCTGCAAAATTGTTAGGTTTTCAAGATTTTAGAGCGTCGGGTGGAAAAGGCCATAATTTTTCTCAATATAGTAAAACATTGAAATTACAACAAAGCAAATTTCTAGTATCCGTTCTGTTAGAAGTAACGTTTTATTATATAAAAGTTCCCTAGCTCGTCGACGTAGTATAGGTGAATATGTAAACTTTGATGTATAACTTTTTTAAACCGAATTTTTTTTAAAAATATATTAACTTCGTCTTATCAAAGATTACTCGATAAAACGAATATTTGATAAAACGATGTTTTGAGCCCAAAACAAGTACATCTGTTTAACGAGTTCCGACTGTATCATTATTTTTTTATTAGGTGTTTAAGAATTAGTAGCGATATAAATAAAATCACATTATACCTTGTATATTTCTTGTATAATCTTAATAAATATTTAATAATAAACTTGTCCTCTAATCTAAAAACTTAGTAGGGCCTTGTTATCTCAATTTTACACACTGATCGCAATATACATATCTGCCAACAAACAACACAATAGAAGGCTTTCTGAAATCATTCGCAGGTTCACTAATACCAACGAAGCCTTTAAATATAACGTTTCTATAACCTTTGCAATCTTTATCTGTTCTATAAGTCGTGATTCTACTGGTAAATTTGTCGGTTAAGTTTGCACTCAAGATATAAGGAAGCCTTTTTTTTATGATTATTATTTTTTTCAATTAAAGAAAACAATGAAGAGATGAAGAGACAAACCATTTTTTATAAATAATTTTTTGAATTATGTTTATAAATATAAAGAGCGAATTATTACAATGATAGTGTCAATAATAATTGATTTTTTCACGATTGTAAAATTTATGTAAAATACAAAAGGTTTTCCAATAATTGCGGAAATACCTTGTAAAAAATGGTCATTGTCAATAATTTCACAAATGTAATATTGAAATTGTAAAATGATTGTCATTGTCAATAATTTCACAAATATGAAATTTTATCAAATATAGTGAAATCATTGTAAAAAATCTCATTGTTGTAAACATTTCATTAAATGAAACCTTTGTGAACCAAAGCTTTGCTATCAGTGAGTATTAATATTAATAAGCACTATTCCTTTGGGAAGAAGATAACAGATCAAAGTTAAAAGATCGGCAAGAATAAAATTCTTTTCCGAAAATCAAGTTTAAGAAAACATTGGTTTTCCATCTTTTTTCCTCGTTTCATTTAGAAACAGAACCATTTTACACAACGCAATTGTTTTCATAAACATCTAAACAAAAAAGAAGACATTTGACGATACATCCTCACGCTGGTTGTACCAATTTAAAAAGAGGGTTTTTTCGTCCATTGTGAATAAGTATAGAAAAGATGGAAAACTGGATTGTAACACAACAATGTAGCTTTGTCGGTTATTTCCATGATAATAAAAGATCTCCCATCTTATCAAGATGTGACCGTGATGTGACTTGTAATTTTTTGACACCCCAAAAATATATTAACGTTTCTTAATTGCATGTTATCCGAAAATTTTTGTAATCAATTGTCAAAAAACCGCTTTTTACATAGCTGATTTATGTTATAAATCAGGTTTTCGGTTGGCGACTTTACCTTATGGCATATTTCTGCTTCCAAAAATTTTATTTATGAAAATGATGCTGTTCGTTGTATCACGTGATTTGTTATTATAATAAAGTTCGGTGGAGTGCGGTTTTATAAATTTGTAATTTAATTTATTTAATATATATAGTAATAGTTAACTAATACTGAATAAAAGGATCGAAACATTAATTATGCAAATAATATGTACATAATAATTAAATTTATACCACATGTGGTTTAGGTTTAGATAAACAAGTAAATAAATATCCACGTAAAGGTTGATGTTTCAAGCTTTTCTATAGCCCGAGTAACAAGAGAAAATAAAACTTCAATTTAAAATGATTTTTATTATCTTAAAAAATCTACGTGACATAGTTTGAAATTTTCACATACGAAAGTCTAGAATTTGCTGATTCGTGCAATATAAATTTATTGCGTGTTTTTGTTTGAAATTTTTGCTTTTTTTTACCATCTGGGGAAAAGTTTAGAAACATGTATTTTGACTAATCACTCGAAAATATACATATCATTTTACACCTTTCAATTAAAAAAATCGAAATTCGTGATAACATTTTCAATTTTTTTCAAAATAAATAAGTTCATATCACTTTGAACTAAAATGTGATGATATCGAAATTCAAAAAAAAACAATAATAATAATAATTAATAATTCGAAACTTGATCAACTTGCCAAGACTCAACCATTATGCCGAAACTACAGTTGGTTGCCGAAACTATTACTCAAACTCAAAACTCAATTAATATGCCAAAACTAGTTGTATGGAATTTTTTAATAGTCAATGATATGTAAACACCTCTTTTAAAAAAATATTTATTTTTAAAGAAACTCAATATTCTGTGATCCTGATTCTTTGATTAAAACCATACATGATGGCAAAAGTCATTTTAAAACTTTCAAAAAAATTACTCAAGCTTTCGAAATCAAAAGTCCTTAGTATTAGTATTAGTGAAATCCGAAATCGAAATCCGGGGGTCTTGGTATTTGGCAAATAAAGACTATGAGAATCAAAATTGCCTGACATAATTTAAAAACAATATTTTGGAATTCGAATCAGGAATTCTAATTTCGATTTCAAACCGTAACTATTATTATTATTATCGAAATTATTTTCAAACTAAACTATTTCGTCATCATACATAGAATATTATGTTTATAATAGTCATACATAACATACTTTGCGTACTGTATGAGAGTGTACGATTTTTTTTTAAATTCTTATATTATTTTTGTAGGTGATGTAATTATCATTTACATGTATATTTTATTTATCTGTATAGTTATTCGGTCTTCTCCTGAGAAGGAGAAAATAAAACTCTCTTAATAGAATTTGCTCAAACATTTGCAATTTTTATTTTGACTGTCTTGTAAATAATTTTCATCATATCACATAAATTAATTGATTAATTTACTCGTACAGTATAAAATCAATTTTTCCAATAATGACAATTGCTTACAAAGTATCCAATGAAAATTACCAGTTATGCATACTGAAGATGTTGGCCAAAATATTTCAGCAATATTTAGGATTCTCAATATCCTTATGAATTACAAACCAATTATATGTGTTTTTTAAATTTACGTAATATACGCACATACGAATCATATGTAAGATGCAAATATCCTTATGTGTTTCAGGGTGTCTCTCTCCCTCAAGCAAAACACTCACTCTAACCATTACTTCTAATGCCAATAAAATACAGATATATTAGACCTCACGAAATGATTGAAATTTCAGCAGGACAATAGCCACCAACATACGAGCCGTCTTGCCAAGAAATTTTTAATAGAAAATATCCCGAAGCAATTGGACTAGATTGTCATTTGTATTTTCTAATTGTAATAATTTTTAATATTTGAACAAATATAGAAGCGATTATACAAGTTTTTATAGTAGTGTTTCCGCAATTATTACTTTTAATACAATACTCCGTGTTTAACTATGGTCTCTTTTCCACATACTCGCATGCCTTTCTTACAGAGTTCTTTCTCATTTTGTGCTAAAACGTATA